CAAAGGCAGACACTTAACTGACTGAGACACCCAGATGCCCCAGTACAGAAGATACTTAAACAAAAGAAATCATCTTTGTATTCAGATGCTGATAAGATTCTCATCTTGACCCGACCTAAAAAGGACCACTGCAAGACCCTTTACAAGATAGATGCCCAGGGCACCTAGGTGGCTCAGTTGGTTAATCATCTGCCTTCGGCTTGGGTCATGATCCCGGGGTCCTGGTATCCAGTCCCACATGGGGCTCCCTGCTCACTGGGGAGTCTGCTTCTCCCCCTCCCTCTGTGTGCTCTCTTTCTCTCTCAAATAAATAAACCTTTAAAAAAAAAAAAAAAAGATGCCCATTTCAGGAAGATCAATTTCAACAGCAGTGGTAGAAACATTTTACCCAAATAACAGCATCTGAAGAAAATAAGATTTGTGAGGTTACAGTACATTTTTATGTTCATGAAATACCAACCTGGGAGAGGACCCATATAAAAAGAAAGTCTATAGGAGAACTGCAAATAATTTCACAAATACTGTTTACAGTATTCCTCTCTTTTAGAGGCCCAATTCATTTGAGCATATTAAAGATGCCAGGAAATGCCATAAAAAAGAAGCCTGTTAAACCTTGCCCACAAAGCTTTGCATAAAGCTTAGTTGGTAATTTTTTTTCTTCTTTTTATAAACACCTATTGGTAGACCAAAAAACTAGTGTCCTATTAAACATACTTTGGGGCAAATCTCTGAAAGCACTTTGGAGCAGCTCCATTTCTAGCCAAAGCCTTCCATAGTTTCTGCTGTATGTTCCCTCTGGGACTGACACTACAAAGCAATACAAATGCAGAGGAGGGTACCTGGGCTTCAGGCCCAGACATGGGGCATCATAGAAGGGTAAAGTGAAGAAAATGTAAAAAGGAAATGATTTCTGCTAAAAGCCTTCTTAAGAAAGTGGGGCCTGTTCCAGTCAACAAAAGATTGGTCACTTGCATTTGGCTAAGCACCCTAATGGGTTCTGGAAAGGTCACGACAGGACTTGAGCTGGGTTTGGCAGTAAAAGCTAGAAGAAGCTATATCATACTGTACTATAGAAGATTTTAGAGTCCAGCAGTTCTCTAAGGCTGGAGGGAGTAGGAGAGAAGACACTGTTGGCTAAGGAAGAGGGTAAGACAATCTAACAGATGGCCAGAGGCAGAGATGGCTGCTGTCAGGAAGCAAAACCAGAGCTGAAATCCTGATAGTGGGTGATCCAACAAAATGATTTACATATGATATGCTCATTGTTTACTGTGTAGTACAATGGGGTAATTTCTTCTTGTTCTCAAGGTGGCCTGGGGCTTCCCTTGTGTTTGAATCCACACCACTTGGAGATCAAAGCACACATTTAGGACCTAGTGCTTTGTAAAGCTGAGTACGAAATATCAGTTAGATCCCAGGTAGCTATGAAATAAAAAATTATCTCATCACTTTCCACCACCTCTTCCCCAAGAATGTGTAGAAACAAGTGCTAAGAACGGTGCCTAGCACATCACAGATAGTCAATAAATACCTATCAAATGAGTCAATTAGCCCACTGGCCTTCCATTAAGTATGAAACAGTGTTTTAGGTACTGAGCAAATCTTAGCTACATTTTAATCAACAGGTAAATACCACCTGACACCTACAAAGTTTTCATCCTTTCTAAGAGACAGCTCCTTTTTTAAGAGTCTTTCCACTGTTTTTCAGCAAATAATGAAAGTGATACCCACACACACACACACACACACACACAATTTACATAGCACTGTTTCCACAAAGAAAAGGACTCAAAATGAATGTGAATTCTGTGTCTTTTTTTTTATTTAAAAAAAATTTTTTTTTTAAAGATTTTATTTATTTGACAGACAGATCACAAGGAGGCAGAGAGGCAGGCAGAGAGAGAGGGGGAAGCAGGCTCCCCGCCGAGCAGAGAGCACGATGTGGGGCTCGATCCCAGGACCCTGGGATCATGACCTGAGCTGAAGGCAGAGGCTTAACCCACTGAGCCACCCAGGTGCCCCGTGAATTCTGTATCTTTACTCAGTGATTAAATCTGAATTTATGAGGAAGATGTAACCCCGAACTCAAATAAATTATTCAAGTATTAGAGCTGAAAGGGAAAAAAAAAGATTTCTGGGCACCTGGCTCATGCAGGCTAGAGAGCAAGTGACTCTTGACATCAGGGTTGTGAGTTTGAGCCCCACAATGGGTATAGAGATTAGTTAAAAATAAAACCTTAAAAAATAAGATTTCTAGTACAATTTATTTTTTTCTTTTCTTTTTAAAAATATTTTATTTATTTGAGAGAGAAAGCAGGTGCAAGTGGAGGGAGAAGCGGAGGGGGAGGGACAAGCAGACTCCAAGCTGAGCCAGGAGCCAGAGGCAGGGCTTGATCTCATGACCTGAGCCAAAATTAAGAGTCGGTTGTTAAACCTAATGAGTCACCCTACACCCCTGATTTATTTTTTCAAGTGCAAATCTACAGAGTCTCTTCAACAAATGGCACTGGGACAGGTAGATATCCAAGTGCAAAAAAAATAAAATTTGACTTTAACTGCATACTGTATACATAACAAAACA